TGGTTGTTTGTCTCCATGTGTCCCTGTGATGGACTGGAGACCCGTCCAGGGTGTACCCCGCCACTCGCACAGTGATTGCTGGACATGGGCACTGGCGACCCCCATGACCCAAAATGGAAGAAGCGGGTAAAGATAATGGATGGGTGGATGGATGGTTGTTTTAACTTGATCAAAATTAAAAAAATTACAATAATAATAAAATTCAAAAATTCAATTAGTATTTCAGAGTGCAATGTGTGCATTTAAATCAAACACGCCCACAACATGTTCTCCTACACAGACAGAAAACCTTTGTCAAAATTAAATGAGTAATATTTACAACATTGTCATTGCAAAATAAAATCTCACCATTTTTAAAAACTTTCTGCTAAAGCTTCTCTGAGAGTCAACCAATAAATCTACAGAATGGCCATTACATGATATCCCCATGACTTGGGGGCAAGATAGCGCTTGTGTCTGGCTCAACCACCATCTCTGCACCATACCTCCATAGCCTCATTTTGAGTTTGTTGTTGCTTTGCTAACACTACAGTCACACAACTATGTTCATAGTGCTTGGGAATTATGATCAATCCACACTGCTGAGCATTAGAGAGTCTATGGAGGGACTTTTTCACAGCTGGGAAAGTTACAGATGCACCTTCCTTCCCCTGTTTGAGTGTTCTCCTTCCTCACCCGAGTACCTGACGCTGTTCTCCTCTGAGGGTCCAGGCAACTCTACAAAGAGGACAAGGAAAAGAGGGTGCAGAGCTGGAATCCTGGTTCGGATTAGATAAGCTTTCCAGAGGGGGGGATTTTCCACCATGTTGCAGGGACTGCACCCAACATTTACAGCCTGTTTGTTTATGACCCGTTTTCCCACCGCTGTTTTGAACCGCTGGCGACCTGAACCCTATACACTTTGATAACAGATCCTCACGTTCTATGGATGAGAGCCCTTTCCATGCAGTTGGACACCACATAATCAATCATGGCACTTGTTTGGCATCTCTTCTACTACAACCAGCTCTCAAGGATGCTGACTTGCTCCCTTCGGTCCAGTTTGGCTTGCTCAGTGCTCACTCGGTCTAGAATAAATCCTTCTTTCTTCATGAATTCTTCACTGGACAAAATATGGATTTTATGCTTCTCATGGAAACATGGTAATGAGAGGAGAAGTTTATCGATTTAAATAAACTATGACCTGACGGCTGTTCCATTATTGGTGAGCCCCTCTGGCTCCAGCATAGTAGAGGACTTGTTGCAGTACATCGGGAAAAATATCCATCCAGAACTGTCATCAAAGCTTCTCCTCCTTTGAGTCACTGGTGTTAAAGTTTGTTTCCAACAAACAACAAACACTTCAATAATGTGTTTGTGTTTGGCTAATCGACCATTGTGTTGTGTCAGCTTGGCACATCTTCGTTTTGAGTCAATCGCTAAAACTAGGACTTGGTCTTAGATCATAATAGCTGCATAATGTGACAGGATCGGTATCAGGATCCTTATAATTTTTCCTCTCTCCATTTCTAATAACTTTATAAGTGAATATGTGAAATGTCTAATCTTAGAGTTGATATCTGGGTAACTGAAGTCCAGCAACCCTGTGATTTGACTGTGTTTAGCATGAGTTCTCACCATCACATGTAATTTTTGCATCTTAGCAAAGTTTGGTAACTTTATTTTGTTTAACCAGTAATATTCTGCTGTCCTTGTAATCTGATTAAAAATGTGCTTTACAAAACATGGTGTGCCCTGTATTGTTGATTTGAGAAATTCCAAAAATGGCAGCGTAAACAACTCTGACAAGAGGATGATGTATTGTGCAAATTTGTCAAAAAACACATTTAACAAATAAAATAATCATTCCTGTATTATATTCCTTTTAGGCTGCTGTTGCCATTACAGCATGTCAGAGCGGAAAGGTACAATAAACTGCATATGAGCACATCAATAGATACACAAGTCAATACTTAACGAGGTCAGGGAAAGGACTTGATATGAAAAAACATTTCAGAGGGGTTAAATTAATCAGACATAAAGATGGTCGGAGGTTTACCAGTCTGGAAAAATTGTGACAATGGGAAAACAATTTTAGAATAATGTTTCTCGATAAAAATTTTAAAAAATTTGGAAAAACTTTGAAAAACCCCTCATCTACAGTTCATAATATCATCCAAAGATTTCAAAAATCTGAAGAAATGTCCATGCAAAGGTCAAGCCAACGTTAGATGCCCATGATCCTGGTCCTCAGGTGGCACTTCATTCAAAACAGGTCTGATTCTGCAGATCACTGCAAGGGCTCAGGGACACTTTCACAAAGCATTGTATGTAAACACAGTTCATTGTGCCACCCACAAACGCAGGGTAAAGCTCAATCCTGCAGAGAATGAGCTTGATGTGAACACCATCCAGAAACACAGCTGTCTTCTCTAAACCAAAGCTCATTACAAATGGACTGAGGCAAACTGGACAACTGTTGCGTGGTCAGAAATATCAAAACTTGAAATCTTATACAACACACAGTTTAAAAAAACTGTCTCTCTGATGGTATAGAGGTGTATTAGTGCCCATGGCGTGGGCAGCTTGTATGTTTGGAATGGCAACGGTAATGCAGAAAGTTGAATAGAGGTTTTGGAACAAGGTATATCCATCCAGACATCTTTTTCACCATATTTCAGAAAGAAAATGTTACACTGCATGTATGGCTGCATAGAACAGTCCAGGCACTGAACTAGTGAGTCAGAGGTGTCCAGTGTCCAGATCTCCCACCGGCTGAAAACATTTTTTACATCATAAAATTAACAATCAAGCAAGAAGACCAAGGACTGTGGAACAACAACATCAAACAAAAAGGGACAACATTCTTGTTAGATGTCAAATTTAAAGCAGAGCTCAGTTTAAGAGCTGAAGTCTTTTACAGTGACTGCTCGAAGAGTTTAAGGAAAGCTTGTAAAAACTTCACTGCAGGTACCCAGATTTAAGAACAAGGAACAGAACATCAATAATCTGCTAGGAAGTACTGTTGCCTTAAGTATTTACACTTTAGTGTCTCACTGTGCTATAAATTTTGGAGACTAACTGGTTACTCAAAACTGTGAGAAAATGGGCAAATTTTCAGTTGCTGTCTCTGAATTCTGTGTTTCCAACTAGTAAGCAATGCAACCATTATACAGCTTTTTTAATTAATGAAAATTTAGGCCTATTTTTATGAGCATGACTAACAAAGTTGTATTCCAACACACACATGTTTTGTTGCCAACCTCTGCACATACTGTTTCCACTTTTAACATGCAGATCTTCAGAATGGGACCAGTTTGTTTATTATTATTTATCACTGGCATGGGTAGACCTGGACATTTGGGGTCGTAGCCTTTCTGTGAGAGTAAAGCTCCAGTGCAGATGTCTAAATACAGCTCTAGTACTCTAAAATTATGAAAACTAAACTGAGAGGGGGTTGAGACACTCATGACAACCCTGCAGCTGTTTAAAGAGAAAGAAATGTGTCACAAACCTTTTAAACATGTTCAAATGACAAGCAATAAGACAGCAAGCCTCACAACTCAAATGAGAAAGTTAAGAACCCTGCAAACATTTTAAAACATTATGAAAACTCTCTTGCAAAGGCCGTTTGCAAATGGGTGCACAAATTGTAACCCAATGAGATACTGGCTTTACTGACAATAATATGTTGATGGATCAACTAAAGCTCATACTAGATGCAGTTTTGTTTACATTTGCATAACGAAAAGCACCGTTGCCTCATAGCTCGACAGTTCTGGGTCAGAACCTGCTGGCCTACTGGGACAATCCTGAATGGAATCTGCATGTTCTCTCTGCACCAGTTTTCCACAGTTGCTTCAGTATCCCAGAGTCTGGAGACCAGAATGTAAAGCTCTTCTCACCCAACACCTCCCAAAGCTTTCCCAAATCCCTTCTGAGTAGCCGAGTACACTGCTAGGTGATGCTGTGTCTATCTTTAGGTGTATGTGTCAAGTGGCAGGTACTGTAGCGCATTCTGCGCATCCCTCTAAACACACCAACATAATGCTGAGCAGCTTCGGTTTGGTGAGTGTGGAAAAACTAAAGGGGAACAGTGGTGAGGACCCTGACAAGGTGCGGCAAATGTGCTAAAAGAGCTGGAAGACAAAACAACCATGAGTGGTAAAATGGATAGTTTATCCATTTTACCTATCCATTGTCTATCATTCATCATAACCATTGCTCATTGTCTATCCATTGTCTGGTGACCCCACCCTGTCATAATGCCAACAAAATGACACAACTCCAAACTAACGAAAAAATTATACATCTATAGAAGACAAACAATATACAGTAAATACAGTTGTAGAGTTCAACTATAAAAGGCTTTTTTATTTTCTGGTCTCCCACTGTGATTTATTTCTTAAAATATTCTGCTGAGGTTTTGTATTTATTTATTTAAAAATTACACACTCCTGAAACAATGAGCTAAAAGACAGATTTTCTGTTCCACATCATGCGAGAGAGTGAAATATTTACTTTTGATCCCTTTTTTATTTGTGTGAAAGTGCATACCTTTTGCTCATAAAGCAATAAAACCTGCAGACTTTGATTAAGTGTCCTCTGTGTGTCTGCAGATGCTCACACAGATCTGTAGAAGTGCTGTAGCTGCATAAGCAACATTCTGTTTTTAGGAGAGCTAGTGAGATTTTACTGCTCTGCACCAACAGGGTTAAAAATACTGACTGTCAGGGGATGCACCAAGCTCTTCATTTTATTTTCTAAGTTGTCTGGTTTATTCTCCAAGTTGCTTTAAACACAAAAAACAATCATATTTCTCTAAATTCATATTATCTATTGAATCTGCCCAAGTATTATTTCTTCTTGGAGGTCTTATCTTTGATTTATTGATTCATGTACTGCTCGGTGTTTCGGTGTCAAAGGGAAAAGGCCTAAAGCCCAGTGTGACAGATCAAATCATACAACTGTAATCATTAGAGACCAAACCAGTCTTTCTGCGCTCACCTTTCTGCACCTACCTGATATGTGTTGTCGAAGCTGTCATACATGAACCTTGTGATCAGAGATGTCTTTCCAACTGCAAGACAAGAAAAAGACAGACTGAATGAACTGATGGACAAGAAACTTGGTCTTGTGTCATTCAGACGGCGGATCAAGATCACAGAGGAACTGGTGGTTGTAGATTATTTCATGGCTGTCACTGCTGCAGAGAAGGAGCTCATTAAAGTGTGAGAAGACTACCTAGAAGGTCCGGCTGGCACCAGGTCCGGGTGGAATGACAGGCCAGCAGCTGCTGGAATTGTTTTGAATTTCCAAAAACTAAACATTTAAAAAGTAAATAAATGAACGAGATGGAATGATTATGTTTTTTACCCTGAACATGTTAAATGGCAAACTAAATTCACAGAAAAAAACAAAAAATAAAAAACAGAATCAGGTTTATTTACAAGTTTACACAAATATGAACTATGATTTTGTTTTGTTGACTTTGTGCACAAAGCCTTGATAATGAGCAGTGTGCAAATGTCCCCCATTGCTAAGGGATTTGAATAATAAATGTTTGTAGGTTTTGGACGTGGCAACCTAATTTTCCATAGGCACCTTTCTTACACCTAGACGCAGCTACAGACCAAAATATAAGTCTTAGGTGTAAGAAGTTTATTTGTGAAGCTATTCAACTCAAAAGCTTTACATAAATAAACATTTATGGTGGCAGCCTTCTAGGAATTAGACGTGGAAACCCAATGTTTGATAGTGACTTTTATCCTGATGCATGCTCATGCAGGTAGAAAAATCTAAAAAAGTTAAGTCAAGTCTCTGGACAATCTTAACTTACAGACTTAACTCTGTCACTTACAATGTTTCCAAATATCTGGCGTCTGTACTCATCCCTTTAGTTGGCAGCTCAGAACACCACATACAGAACACCATGGACTTTGTGGATAAGGTGAGGGATGTCATCATGGAGACTGATGAAACAATGGTCTCTTTTGATGTCACATCACTCTTTATGTGCATTCCTGTTGATGATGCAGTAGAGGTGGTCAGTTTAAGATTAAAATCAGACACCACTCTGAGCAGCAGGACCACGCTTTCCACAGAACAACTGTGTCAACTCTTGAAACTGTGCCTGCAGTCAACCTACTTCACATATGGGGAGCAATATTATAGGCAGAAACATGGGTGTGCTATGGGGTCTCCAGTTTCTCCTATTGTTGCCAACCTGTACATGGAGGAGGTAGAAAAGAGAGCCTTGACGTCCTTTTCAGGGACACCACCAAGTCATTGGTTCAGGTATGTTGACGACACCTGGGTTAAAATTAAATCTCAGGAAGTCCAACATTTTACTGACCACTTTTACTGGTCAACTCTGTGGATAAATACATCAAGTTCACACGAGAAGATGAAAAAAATGGCAAGTTGGCTTTCTTGGACTGTGAGGTCTCAGTCTCTGATAAGAGGATATTTGCAAACCAAGGTGTACCGCAAACCCACCCACACAGACCAGTATTTGCAGTTTGACTCCCATCACCCTTTGGAGCACAAGTTAGGAGTCATCAGGACTCTTTATCACAGAGCAGACAGCATCCCCACTAACTCGGGAGCCAGGCAGAAGGAGAAATCCCACACAAGACAGGCTCTAGAACAATGTGGATATTCTAACTGGGCCTTCCTGAAAGCAGAGAAGAAACCCAAACAGGACTCCAGTCAGCCAACAGGTGAAAAGGAGGAACCCAGACCCAGACCAGTGGTCATTCCGTATGTTGAGGGAGTATCAGAGAAACTGAGACGTTTATTTTCTAAACATAACGTCCCAGTGGCTTTTAAACCCCAAAATACATTACGGCAAAGACTGGTTCATCCCAAAGATCCAGTCCCCCGGCACAAACAGAGCAATGTTGTGTATGCTGTTCAGTGTCAGGAGGGCTGTGATCAGTCTTACATCGGGGAAACTAAACAGCCACTGGCCAAAAGGATGGCCCAGCACAGAAGATCAACATCATCAGGCCAGGACTCTGCGGTCTACACTCATCTCCAGGCCAGCGGTCACTCTTTCAGGGATGAAGATGTGCACATCCTGGACAGAGAGGAACGATGGTTTGAGAGAGGAGTAAAGGAGGCCATCTTTGTGAAATCGTCCATCGTTAAACAGGGGTGGAGGCCTCCGTGTTCAACTGTCCCCCTCTTACAATGCTGTGATTGCTAGTATCACTCAGCCCTCTGTGAACAGTAAACAGCCATCAGTGTGCTAATGATCCATTGTTAGGCTGATGGTCCTTCTTGAGCATGTGATCAGCTGGTTTTGGTTGTCAGCAGCAAACTGGTTGATCCACTCTGAGAAGGTGCTATTTAAGAGACTGAGCTGAATACAGCACCTCAGACTGAGGAAGTCTCTCAGATGAGAGACGAAACGTTTCTACATTTTATTATTTTTTTGCTTTGTTTTTTTTATGTCCAGAGGACCAGATTTAACTTTTTTAGATAGTGACTTTTCTTACACCTAGATATGCAGTGGTGATTGAAAGTTCATGAAATCTTTATAATTGTCTATATTTTTGCAAAATTTGACCTAAAACATCCTCAGATTTTCACACAAGTCCTAAAAGTAGATAAAAAGAACCCAGTTAAACAAATGAGACAAAAATATTATACTTGTTCATTTATTTACTGAGGAAAATGATCCAGTATTACATATTTGTGATGGTAAAAGTACTTTGTATGTGAACCTTTACTTTCAGTACCTGGTGCCAGTCTTCTGGTTTGTCCACGTGATCTTTATCAAACTGCAGACGAGCAGCCATGTTCTTGTTGGAGAGCAGTGTCTTCCTCCTTCAGCCTGCCATGAACCATTGTTGTTCAGTTCTCCTGATGGTGGACTCATGAACATCAACATCAGTCAATGTGAGAGACCTTCAGGTGTTAGAAGTTACCCTGGGCTCCTTTGTGACCTCACTGACTATTACACACCTTGTTCTTGGAGTGATCTTTGTTGGTCCTCCACTCCTGGGGAGGAGAACAATGGTCCTGATTTCCTCCATTTGTTCACAATCTGTCTGACTGTGGATTGATGGAGTCCAAACTCTTTACAGATGTTTTGTAACATCTTCCAGCCTGATGAGCATCAACAACTCTTTTTCTGAGCTCCTCAGAAATCTCCTTTGTTCCTCCATGATCCACTTCCACAAACATGTTGTGAAGATCAGACTTTGATAGATCCTGTTCTTTAAATCAAACAGGGTGTCCACTCACACCTGATCATCATCCACTGATTGAAAACACCTGACTCTAATTTCACCTTCAAACTAACTGATAATCCTAGAGGTTCACATACTTTTACCATCACAGATATGTAATATTGGATCATTTTACTCAGTAAATAAACAAACAAGTATAATATTTTGTCTCATTTGTTTATCTGGGTTCTTTTTATCTACTTTTAGGACTTGTGTGAAAATCTGATGTTTTAGGTCAAATTTATGTAGAAATATAGAAAATTAGAGTTCACAAAGTTTGAAGCACCACTGTAGCTACACAAAGAATAGAAGATGGCACATTACTTACTTTTCAAGTTATAATACTATAGTTCTCTCACTAGTTTCAATAGATGTAATGTTTATCACTACACGGGTAGTGTCTACAGATAGTATATGTAGTGTGATTTTGTGCAACTAATCTGTGAGATCCACAGTTTTGTACAGGATTGTTTTTAATATCTGATGTACCTATAAGTTTATGAAACTTACTTGGACCTACATAGCAGGGATGGGCATAGATCTTTTAAATATTCAAAACAATTGTTACAATATATGAATGTGAATAATTACTGTGACTGTTGTTTTGACAGACAGCTCTTCTTTGAACCAGTATTTGTTAGTACTACACTCTGCCAAACTACTACGAGTCATTTCTCAACCACTATGCTGATTTCCAGGCACTAAATTCAGCACACCAGTCTAAAAAAATGAAGACACCCCCCCCCCCCCGCACACTAATTCAACATTTGCCTTCATCGTTCATTTGAAAAAAAACTTCAAGTAAAATTATGGTTTCTTTCACTGTGAAAATAAGTGCTCACTCCTCCATATTGATTTATTGAACTGATTAAAATAAAGGAAGACAATAAGTCCCGGCTATCAGAGCCTAAAATAGCAATTTAATCATTACTGATTACTTCAAATAGTATTTTTGCTTGAAATGTGAGATGAACATTTCAATAAAAAAAATAACATTTGAAATAACCAGTTCTAGGAGGAATAATGCAGGTTCTGTCCTGGCCGTGGAACACTGGACCAGCTCTTTGCCCTGACTAGGGTCCTCGAGGGGTCCTGAGAGTTTGCCAATCCAGTCTACATGTGTTTTGTGGACTTCGAGAAGGCATTTGACCATGTTCCTCGAGGTACACTGTTGGGGGTGCTCCTTGAGTATGAGATTGGGGGCCCTTTATTATGGGCTGTTCAGTCCCTATATTGTACAAGCAGAGCGAGAGCTTGGTTCGCATTGCTGGTAGTAAGTCGGACCCCTTCAGGGTGGGAGTTGGACTCCACCAGGGCTGCCCATTGTCACCGTTTCTGTTCACAACTTTTATGGACAGAATTTCTCGGTGCAGCCAGGGGGCCGAGGGATTCCAGTTTGGTGGCCTCAGCATTCCTGCTCTGCTATTTGCGGAAGGTGCGGTCCTTCTGGCATCACCATGCCATGATCTTCAGCTCTCACTGGAGCAGTTCGCAGTAAAGCATGAAGCAGCTGGGATTAGAATCAGCACCTCCAAATCTGAGGCCATGGTCTTTTTTAGTCAGAAAAAGGTGGATTGCTCTCTTTGGAACGAGGGTGAGGTTCTGCCTCAAGTGGAGGAGTTCATGTATCTCTGGGTTTTGTTCATGAGTGATGGAAGAATAGAGCGTGAGATTGACAGACGGATTGGTGCAGTGTCTGCAATATTGTGCACTCTGTGTCCATTGTGGTTAAGAGGGAGTTGGCACTGTAAAGCAAAGCTCACCGTTTATTGGTCGGTATAAGTTCTTACTCCCACCTATGGCCACAAACTCTGGGTAGTGCCCGAAAGAATGAGATTGCGGA